GGAAGTAGGATTGCCCAACTTTCCTTCCGAGGAGTGGCTGGTGGGTTTGAACCGCCAGCCTTCTGGTTAGCAGTCAAGTGCTTTAGCCACTATGCTACCAGAGCTCCTCCCATAAAGATTATAGCCTTGAAAACCCTATGGAGTGGTTCTACTCAGTCACATGTCAAAATCAACTTCTAACACCTAACAACAACAGAGAAATCCACACAGTGTTCCTGGATTCCAAGTGTTAGAACATAGCTGATTCAGGAAGTGGGGCAGACAGTGGTGGTACTTAAATCTTTTCACCTGATGATCAAAGTGTGCAAGAAGGTAAGTAGCTCATTTGAGACCAAACTCAATTGTGAACTCAAGGGACAGATGAAGAGTTACAGGTTGCTGGTGCCCAAACTGAGCACTTTATTCTTCCTACTCTAATTCAATATATTAACAGTATGGAGTATATTCCATGGGACAGGCACAGGGCTGGATCTCATTGTTCTGAAGCTACTGACAAATACCTTGGCCTAGGTCCTTAGGATCATCCACCATGTGGTCTCAACTTTCCTTTCCAACCATTTACTCACTGTTCTCTCCCCTTCACTCACCACAGACCTGGAAAGCTTCCTTTCTCCCATCTGGAGTGGCCTCCTTCCTTAGGACTCAACTCAAGTCCCACCTTCTCCAGGAAGCCTTCCTTGACCATCTCAGCTTACAATGAGCTCTCCTCCTTTGAGTACCTACAGTCATTATTGACCGTGCCACCCACTTAGCACTAATCATCTATCCTGTCATTAATAAATACATAAGTCCTTTCTCCTCAACTAAACCAAAGAACCCATAAGGGTAAGACTTTAATCTCTTTGTCTCCCTCAGTCCCTGGTACAATGTCTTGCACAGATTAGATGTCAAAGATTGTTGCCTCACTCATTGCCTGGTACTGCTCAGCGTGGCTATGACTGACAACAGGAAACTCAAGCAACACTGGGGATGGTGATGAATTATGAACATGTCCACAGGATCCTGGATCTAGAATTGAGCTCAGGAGATTATCTGGCTCAGTCACCAGCCTTTGCACAGGTATACATTTAAACTACCTACACTAGGTAGTTACTATATTGACTTTAGAGATGAAGAGTTCACACTTCCCTCCAGATACCCTGAGTATCATTCTGAGGGTCAAAATTTTTTTCTTATGGCTTATAGCAATTTCTCCTGTTTCAATTGAAGTGCCTTTCCTCTTATTTAACCTTCCATGACCATAGAAAACAATTTATAATAAGTCTTCTCATGTATCAGCTAAATTATCCTTTAGCCTTTCCATCAGGCTGAATGACTCTGATCCCTTTAAGCTGTCCTTATAATACCTGCTCTCCATGCTTTTGATGAACCTTGTCCCTTTCTCCTCCACCTTCTTCCAATAACCAAGTGAGAGTGCTATTCCAAGAAGGGGATAATCAGGGCAGAGTAGAGAGGAAGGGCTTCTTCCCAGCTGAACCTGTGAAAGTCCTTTGGGTTATTCTGGATGACATGATGTTGTTACTGTTACTGGTGCTGGTGGAGGTGATGATAATACTGACCACAGTGAGGAACATTGCTAATGGTTGTACAGATTGTACCCTAGATGAGGTGCCCAGTTCAGAGGGAAAGTTGAAACCAACTCCTGCACCCTGCCCAGAAGAAGGGCTGCCATTTTCATATTCATATAAAGGCACTACCTGCACTAGGGCATAGAGAATAGGGACCACAGATGGTGCCAAGGACCTTACCATGGTTGTGGAAGCAGCATAAAGGTTGTCACTGCCAATGTGGCACTTCCCATCATTGGGTTGCACAATTCCTGCCAGCCTGCCATCCAGTGCTATATGAGTCTTGGCATCAGTGGTAAACACAAGCAAGTGAGATGCATCATTTCTCCAGCCAATCTTTTCCTGTTTAAAAAAACATCAAAGAACCAAAGCAACTCTAGCCATGTCATTGTTAGAAAACAAAGCGTCAAAACCTCCCTGCCTGACGGGCTGGACAAGTCTTCTTGGAGAAGGGCCTCAATCCTAGTGCTTTGAACCCAGGCTGGTGCCCACCAACTTAGGGATTTCTGTTATCTTAGGAAAAGAGTCTCATAGCTAAATAGTTCAAATAGCTGAATGACACCCTTTTCAATTCCACACATAACTCTTCCAATGACAGTCATACTACCCATCTATAAGTACAAATGCACCCACAAAATTGGCCTGGGCTAAAAAAAATCTTATCTCAACATCTGCCACTTTGCTTAGGTTATGTTAACTCAGCTTTGACTTTGAAATACTTCCAGAGAAGGTGGGAAGATCCCAGAAAATAACTGGGACCACTGAAGTTCAAGGAATATAAGCTCTGGCTTGTTGTTGTTGTTGTTACGTACCATCAAGTCAGACCTGACTCATAGTGACCCCTCCTTGAGTTTCCAAGGCGGTATCACTACAGAAGTGGATTGCCCCATCTTCTTTCTGAGGAGTGGCTGGTGGGTTTGAACCACCAGGCCTGCTGGTTAGCAGTCAAATGCCTTAGGCAATACACTACCAGAGCTCCAGCAGAGACAGATATCGCTCATACCTGCCCACAGCATTTTCTTCATTTCTATCTCCAGCTTTACACCAGATATCCCCAGGGCTGAGCCACCCCCTTCCCTATTTTTATCCATACCAGCCACAACTGGTACATCGAGCCCTCCACACTCACATCACAGACTGTAGCTTGCATGATGGCATCAAAGCCACCCTCTGGGGCATCCCGGTTTCGTGACACATTCTGCTTCTTTACCTCCTCATTGAAGCGAGTCACCTGGTCAGTTAATGTCAGCACATGTTTGTAGCCAAACATGGGCAGGCAGGTGGTCTTCATACTGGGGAAGAATGGAAGATCATTTAAGCACACTCTGATGGAAAGGGTGGAATAGGGAATGGGAAGGAAAAAGGGGGACAAATACGGATAGTGGTGTGCCCAGTTCAATTGTATATATACCACAGTTAGTTCAGACTCCAACCTTCAAATTACTTGGATAAGGGAATGGGCTATGGAAACAGACTTCCTAGGTTCAAATCCCAGCTCCACTATTTATTAGTCATGGGAATTTAAACAAGCTCTCTAAACCTAACCTTTAAAAGGGGGAACAATAATATCATAAATTATTAAGACTTCTTATGAGGTTTAAAAGGAGTTAATACATGTAAAGCACTTAGAAAAAGCTCTAATTGTTGTTGTTGTCATCTTATACTTAACATTTCTCTAAAGTAACATTAACACAACAATAATGCAAAAGTTCATCAATAAGTTAATGTTCCTGACAATCATGGGAGAAGGAAGGGCTGCTTATGCACAGGGAGATAGCTCAGGGTGCAGAAGAGTATGGAGGGATGGACACTGGGAAGAGGTAACTATGGGGAGGAAGTGGGAGGGGAGCTGTTGCATTGTAAATTTTGGTCAATGACATGAGACAAAGTATATGTGAACTGCTGTATGAAAAGTGAATTTACTCTTAAATCTTCACCCAAATCAAAATAAAATTAAAAAAAAAAAAAAAAAGTTAATGTTCCTGAACCATCAATAAATTGCTAAGTCAGGTCAACAGGAGTATTTCTGTCACCAGCCTGATGTTTTGTTTGTTAATTGATGACTAATGTCTTTACTGGGAAAGCTTGCAACCCTGTCAGAAGGTTAAAAGCCTCCTCATGTAACTTTGAAAACTAAAGAGTAAATTCATACTTTGTTGGGCTCAATAACCATCATTTTAAATTATTACAATCCATGGATTCATGCAGTCTCCACCAACTGCATAAATAAGGCATTCCATTATAAGCCAAAGAGTCAAGAAGCACAATTATCAGTTTACAGACTATTAAAGGGTTCAATGTTGTTTACACTTTTATAATCCTCTAGGACTTAATTCCTTGGATTTTCACCCTGGGATTCATCCCCTTGATGATGAAAAGGAGGATGATGACAACAATGGCACCAATTCTTTTGAAATCATAATTCCTGTTTACTTATCCACAAATTTCTCTGTACTTCTTACCTCATTTCTAGTGCAGTCTTTCTTGCCTCCTATTTATTTATGACCAGGACCAAGAAGCTAATAAATCTCTCTTCCCAGGTCTCCAAACAGCCTTGGACTCTGCTGACACAGCACTCCCAATCAGTGGATTAGCTCATTTGCTAAACTCACTGCCATTGAGTCGGACCCGACTCATAGCGACCCCTCCTTGGGTTTCTGAGGTGGTATCATTATGGAAGTAGATTGCCCAGCCTTCCTTCTGAGGAGTGGCTGGTGCGTTTGAACTGCCAGCCTTCTGGTTAGCAGTCAAAACCTCAGGCACTACACCACTAAGAGCTCCCGCGCATTTGCTAGGAAGATCAAATTAGGATATATAGTTTGGCCATCTGGTGGCCAGCAAAGCTAGCCAAGAACTAGAAACAGAAGCCAAGACTGGGGCAATGCAGAAGGGTGCATCCCTGGCTCCTGGAGAGAGACTTACTCATAGCAAGGGTTTTTGAGGGCCTGTGGTGGAGAGATGTACATGTATGGTGACACAGGCTTGTCCACAAAGGCCCCAAAGCCAATACGCAGATTACTGGTAAGTTTGCGCATCTGAGATGCCAGCTTGGTACCCAGATTATGGATGCTCCACAGATCATCCTTCATAGAGTAGGACAGGTCCATCAGGTAGTAGATGTCCACAGGGTAATCCTCTACCTGCCGCACTTGGATGGAGAAATTCTTCGAATCATCTGAAAGACAGCAGAATGTTCGTTTTTCTCTCCTCTCTCTGAGATTTAATAAGTGGATTTTTCACAGTAGGAATTAAGTGACTGCTTGATCAAATTGGACCTGAAAGTTCTGAGATGCCCACTATTCTCCCCTTGCAAATTCTATTCTTCCAGTCTCTTGACCTTCCTATTCTTATCCTCTTCTTTCCCATTCTAAAATTTTTCACCCTCTTTGCAGTCCCATCTGTGTAAACCTTGGGGTCCTGAGGCACTCCCACCCCGAGTCACAGAGATTTTAGTAGTTACCACACTTTAGACTCTACAGAAGGCAAGAAGTGAGTGTCTACCCTTCTCCGAATCCAAGGAACCCAACACATGGCTTGCACATAGTGAGTACTTTTTTCACATTCTTAATTTAATGGAAAAGTCAAAATCAATGTTTAAAAAAACTGTCTTTTATCCTAATCCTGCCTCCACCTGCAGATCCTCTGTTCCCACATTTCTGCCTCATCTTACATGGAAATAGGGCTTCCAGAATGCATTCTCATCCTATATCTAATTTTAGTCTTAACACAAGGCTATAAGGTAGATAAAGATAGACACTTAAAGAAAGAAAGAACAAACATTTTTGAGTATCTATGATGACAGGAGGGTTAAGTAATTTGCCCAAGGTCAAATAGCTAATATATGGTGGAGTCAAGATTCAAACTCAGATCTCTGGCTTCAAGTCCTAACATCTTCCATTTTCTTTCATTCTCCTGCCCACATCATCCCACCTCCATCCTTTTTTTTTCCCCACTCCATCTCCTTTCTGAGTAGTTTCCCCAAGACAGCTTCCTGCTCATACCTTGTATGCTGTAGCTACTTGTACAGGGTCTCTCCTTGAGATGAACCCCCATCCTACCTGGTCGTAGCCGGAGTGCAATCCTCTGGGGACTGACTTGAGTAATTTGAGAGCTGTCTCCAGAGCCCTTGTCACTGAGGGGTCTAGCCTCCAGTACATAGGCCTCGCTGATCGGGAACTCAATGTAATCTTTGGCACAATTGTCCTTCAGCAGGTTCTCCTTCAAGTTACAGCGTGGTGTGCCCACAGGCAGGGCCTGTAAGACAGGAACCCAAGGAGAAACCCTATGGTCAGAGCTCTGATGGCCCTCTGCCTCCTGCAGTCCCTTCTACCTGCTAGTGGCCTAGAGTTTACCCAGCACTTTGGAGTCCAAAAAAACCAAAAACTAAACTCACTGCCATCAAGTAGAGTCTGACTCATAGCAACCCCTCCTTAGGAGGGGTATCTGAGGCAGTATCTCGATGGAGGTAGATTGCCCAACCTTCTTTCTGAGGAGTGGCTGGTCGGTTTGAACCGCCAGCCTTCTTTCTGGTTAGCAGTCAAATACCTTAGGCACTATGCCACCAGAGATCAAATGAACTGGTGTGACCTTCTAAAGATAATCTCTAGGCCTACTGAACAGAAGAGGGAAAATGAGACATCAGGAAGGCTAAATGAATGCCTGTTCATGGATTATAACCAGGATCTACTGAGTCTTGATCAAAACGTCAAAGCCATTTCTTTGAGCCTTGGCTTCCTCATTTATAAGGTAAAGGCATGAGATGACATGGTGTTTTCTAACAGGAGTAAGATGCTTGTTCATCTCAGGCTTTTTTTAAAACTGTAAAATGCAACCATTTATGGCTTAATGGATCTCACTATCATTTTATTAAATGAAATGCAATAGAATCAAATAGAAAATATCAAAGGGCATATGTGTAAAGGTATGTATTGTTTTATGAAACATTTATATAATGGAAGAGGAGTATAATAATGATGTATATTTCTTTACAAGTCAAGGTCAAAACCATTTGGAAGCTGCTGTGTTAGTCTCTGACTAGGCTGTGATTCACAATGGCAGGGGTTGTGTGTGACTTGTTCCTGCTCCATTGCCAGCACCCAGCCTAGGACTTAGCACAAAGGACAGAAGAGAAAGAAGTATCAGAAGGCAGTGAAGAGTAGGATTTAGGAGTTTGGTGATATATTGGCCAAGACTAAATCCTAGCTTTTGTTGTTGTTAGTTGCCATAGAATCAGCTCTAATTTATGCCATCCTCATGAACAACAAAACAAAATGTCCCCCAGTTCTGTGTCATCTTCACGATCATGGGTGTGCTCGATGCACGGTCATTGTTATGGCCACTGTGTATTTTGAGTGCCTTCCAACCTATGGGGATCATCTTCCAGCACTATATTGGACAACATTCTTCCACTTACTAGTTGGTTACTGGGGCCTAAACCCTTCAAGCCTAGTTCCTCAGCTCTAACATGAACATAATAATAGTCTCTCCATCGTAAGGATGCTTAAAAAAAAAAAAAATTGTCGTCACCATTCCAACTCATGATGATGCAATGTGTTACAGAGAAGAACTTCTCCCTAGGGTTTTCCTGGCTGTGATCTTTGCAGAAGCAGTTCACCAGGGCTTCCACGAGCTGTTACATGTGTTAGAATCACCAACCTTCCAGGTAGCAGCGCAAACTATTTGAGCCACACAGGGATGCTATGTTAAATAAGACAAAGCATGTACAACACACATCACAGTGCCTGGTATAGGGTAAGTACTAAATAAATGTTAGATGTTATGATAGATGCTTGATAAACACTCCATGGATAAATTAATTATGAATACCCTTCACTAGACTCAGCATATCCCATGATGACAGGCCGGCCACTAACCAGAGCCTAGCCTATCACTTCAGCTGCTCCTTCACCCTGGACAAAGAACAAATTGAGCACCCTTCCAAACACCCATAGGATGGCATGCATCCCACAGCCCTTTGGGCTTCTGTGGGCTCACACTTAAGTACTGAATGGGGGACATGCTGTATTGGAAAGAACACTGTTAATCAAGAAACAGATTTCATACTCACTAGCCATGTGACTAAAGTGACTTTTTTTTTTTTTTTTTTGGTAGCAGTATACACAACCAAACATCCATCCACCCACAGTTTCTACATACACAATTCAATGACACTGGTTACATTCTTCACATTGCGTCACCATTCTCACTGTCTCTACCTGTATTGTTTCATCACTGTTAATTTAGACTCTCTGACTCAGAAAATTCTCATCTGTGCTTTAGAGTAACTCGTCTAATTTGAACTCATATACCAGTGAGTCGATTCCCACTTATAGTGACCCCCATTGGGTTTCCAAGGCAGTAAATCTTTACGGAAGTAGTTTGCCCCATCTTCCTTCTGCAGGGTGGCTGGTGGGTTTGAATCACCAACCTGATGGTTAGCAGTCACATGCCTCAGGCTTTGCACCACCAGAGCTCCTTTTCAACTCATATAGGTATTTGTTTGTAAGATCAAATTCCTCAAAGCAAATATTCTTTATTAATTGAGCTAAACTGTTGTTTAGTTTAATGATGGCTCCATGGGATCATTTTGGTTCAAGGTTTAAAGAATTCCAGGCAATAGATTTGGGGGTTTCCCTGGTCTCAGTGGATCCTGTAAGTTTGGTTTCCATGCGAATTTGAAGCTCTGTTTCCTCACTTGTAAGATAAAGGAATTAGATGATGTGGTGTTTTCTGTCCCTTCTTGCTCTGACACTCACCATATTTAGCCAGCACTGTGTGGGCACCTGTCCATGAGGGCTCCTTGCCAGGTTTCAGGACTTGCTGGGAAGCTGGAAAACCCCTACCTGGACCTACTTCACAAGACACAGGCCTTCAGGCCTGTTCTGGTTACCTACTACCACTCTGACAGGAATATATCACAAATAGGATGGCTTAAAGAAACAGGAGTTTATTCTCTTACAGTTCGGGACACTAGAAGTCCAAGTTCAAAGTGCCAGGCTCTAGGGGCTGTGTGAAAGCCCCTTGACCTTGGGCTTCAGCTCTTCCTCTTGCTCCCTGCCCACTGAAGCTGGAGGCATCTCTACTCAGGCAGCTACTAGCTGCTGAGGCTAACAAGCCCAAGGTTGTGAGGCTAACAAGCCTGAGGTTGACAAAGAAAATGGCACAGTCCCAATGTTACCAAACCACACAGCAGGCCAGTAATTCAAGTCCATTGTAAGTCCCAAGGTCAGCAGAGCATGGCAGGCTGCTGAGCAATGACATGGCTACATGCAGCATTCAAACATGCCATAAGCTAGAGACCATTCCCAAACCTGCTTCTTATAAATGGGAAGCAGACCACACTTAACTACTACAAGGCCCTCCACTCCCCAGCCCTCCGCATCCCCTCTCACAACCACTTCTAGAAGTCAGCTGGATAACCCATACCAATATCAACATTTATTGAGCACTTACCGTAATGCCAGGCACTGTAATAAGCACAAGGATTATTACCATCTTCCTGCAAGTTGTCAGACTAGAGCTTTTACTGTTTTACCTGAGACTTTACAAGTGAAGAACCCAATTTTACATGAAAGGAATCTGACGCTTGTAAAGTTTCAATACTTCTCAAAGTTGCAGAGCTAAGAAGTAGCAGAATTAAGATTCTAGCCTAGATTGCCTGACTGTAATTATCCTCATAAAACGGTAAGTTTTATGACATTCTATATCAAGCAAGAGTCAAGGCAGAAAAGGAGGAGTCTGGAAAGGATGGTTGTGGTAGTTAAGGTTATGTGTCAACTTGGCTGAGCCTGGTTTTGAGTGGCTGGGCAGCCGGATACAGTTAGTCCCCATGATGAGATTGGTAATCAACTCCATGGCAGAACTTACTAGAGCAGCTGAGTAGCTGCCTTAAGGATGTGGTCTGCTTCCAGTACATAAGAAGCAGCTTCGAGAAGGTCCCTGCAGCCTTTTGGGACACTTGGACCTTGCGTGTAGCCGAGCCTTCATTCAGCAGCCTGCCAGGTTTCCTGCTAATCTTGGGACTGTCTCTGGACTTGAACTAGTGGCCTGCCATGTTGTTTGATAATATTGGAACTGCACCATTTTATTTGTCAACCTTAGGCCTGTCAGCCTCAGCAGTCAACAGCTGCTTGAGTGAAGAGCCACCTCCAGCTCCAGTGGGCCAGAAGCAAGAGGCAGAGCTGAAGCCCAAGGTCCAGGGGCTTTCACCCAGCCTCCAGAGCTGGCACTTAGAACTTGGGCTTCTAGCCTCCTAACTGTAAGAAAGTAAACCGCTGTTTGTTAAGACCACCCACTTGTGGTATTTTCTGTTAGAGCGGCACTAGATAACCAAAACAATGGTCCTAGGAAGAGCCACATCAGAGAATGTCCCAGGTAAGGAATAGGATACAAGATGGGGAAGTGTGGGGAAGGATGGATAATGTCCTGTCTTCTCAGCCCCCTCAGGTGACCTGGTAGTGGTATTGCCAGAGAGAGACTGGGCCACAGAGAGTACTCCATACTCAAAAAACCAGGATGCTGTAGTTCAAAACCTCTCCCAATACTCAAAGTCTCTTTCCCTCTCCCACCTAATCCTCCTGCTATGCAGAAGGCTTTCTTACATGGATGGGAACACAAGCAACACTAATAACATGGGGACCACCCTGACCCAGGCAAAAAGTTAAAAGAGGTCCTGTAAGCAAGCAGCTTCCTCCTTTCTCTCAGCTTCACATGTATGAGGATAGCAAAATGGTGTCAGCAATGGGAAACAGTACGTAGGACTTAAACTTCCAGGCTCCAATCATGAAAAATCCCTTTCCCACACCCAGCTCTGTCCAAGTATAAAAGAGCTGAGAGGAGAACTCACAGACATTTCAGGCTTTTGTGACCAGACCACACGCTCTCCCTTACCAACTCTTCTCCCTCACATACATACAACTTATCTGCAGCTGTCCACAAATCCTCAGAGAGAAAATGTTTGCAAAATGGCAATAATTGGATAGACCAAGACAGATGCTGAAGGAAAGAACAAGAAAGGGCAGAGACAAGGAAACTGAATGGAAACAGTGAAGCCATTGTGTATCCCAGGCTGCATCAGTGGAGCAAGGGAATGTTTCTGAGGGGGACTTCTTGGCCTTCATATTCCAACATGACAGCTTTTCTTAGAAGAGGGCTTGAAGTGTTAGGCCCTGCTGACGGTCGTATGGTTTGTTATGAATTTCCTTAGAAATATAAACACCAAGAAATGAAAACTGCCTCCCTCTCTCCTTTTGTGG